GTAAATCTTACAGTGCCGACGTAAGTTTTACACTTTTTTATTATTAAACTTACAATTGACACGTGTAAAATTTTTTTTATATTTTCCGGATGTATGTCAAGAGATATGGTCAAGAGAAGAGTTAGAAAGAGAGTTGTTTTTCAACCAACCCTTTAAATACATCTTCGAGTGGTACAATATAATTTATTAGATTATTTTGAAGGTTTGTCACATGCTTTCTTCCAACTTCTTAAATTTGAACCATTTGTCAAATATTTTTATTAACTCTCATACATATGTAAACTCAATAAGTCGGTCATGTGGGGGTGAGCTCATATGACCGACTTATCAAGTAAACTGACTTATTGAATTAAATTGCTTAAATATTAAGAAAATGGGGTGAAAATTTTGGCTGACTTATCAAGTGACCAACTTATCGAGTTTATATATGTAGTTAACTCAAGTGTTGATGATAATTTGTCTTCCTATTAATTTTTTGATTTGAGAATGAAAATATGGCAATGAGATTCTGGACAAATTTGTATTGCACCAATTCTATTCAATTCATTAATGGCATAGAAGACTTTGATGAATCTTTCTTTGAAGCATCAGGAAATTTTTTCTGACGCGGATTTACATAATTATTACACTATTTATGTAAGCTTACAGCGGGCCCCATAATAAAATTATGCAATTATTACATTGGGTGTAAATATTACATAATTTTTTATATTAAAATTTATGGACGTAATATTACGGCGGGGAAAATTCCCTGATGTTACTATTTTGGATTACTAATAATAATCACAAAAAAAATAACAAGAAAAATTGAAATTTGTCCATTTTTCTAAACAAATAAAACAATTGGGAGTATTCAAAAGGAAAATGGGCTGCGATGGCAATTCAAACCAACACATCGTTTAGTGACCCAACGCAGCTATTGGATGAAAGCAAAACGAGAAAGTCTGAAGACCGAAGTAAACAGCTGGACTTTGTTGTTTTTATCATTAACCAATTACAAAAAAATGCCGTGATAATTGTGGATAGTTAGTCCGCCGTCAATGTATATAAAAACTGTAATGATTTCATCCGCCTTGGTGTTTTTATGAAGGACTGTCTAAATTCAAAGGTGCTGAGGTGAAGGTTTTGGATATAAATTTGACACTATTACATCATGGGATATCATTCAAGGAGCATATCATATGGCCAAGTGACAATTCTGGCTTCAATAAACAGATGTTGACGAAATAAAAATAATACTATATGCATGAATTCAAGATAGTGAGTGATCTCCCGATCTAAGGGATCGGCGGGTCGCATATATATTTAACCAATCCTTATCAACAGTGAAATTGCTTATTTGCAAATTTACAGTGCTGGTGAAAAAAGTTTTGAAGAATGGTGTTCTGTTATATCCTATACATGTGCATTGGATGACAAATAGCTTTGGAATCAAACAACAAATTCTTTTAAACTCAAGCACAAGAAGGAAAAGTTCACATAATAATAGTTTTTATACATGAGAAATTGCATTTGAAATCACGTTTTAAACAAATTTATATTAATATGAGAAACAAAAATATTTAAAAGTTCATTGTAACGCGGATTTAATTTATAATTCGCCGAAACAAATAATTTTTCATTGGATTAATTACACTTGTGTTGTTTTTTTTTTTGAATTATATTAGAAGCTATAATAAAGTTTAACTCATTAATATCTGGCGAGGTAAACATGTTGGTTACTATTTTTGACCAGTAAGCAATTCAAATAAAAATTTGTATATTTATTAATCTACAGAAGAATCCAGTTTTAATAAAATCAATCAATTGATCTTGCCAATATTCATGGAACCATGAAATTTTGGCTTTAACTTTGATTTTTATGTTCACACCAAACTCTCTTCCGATATTATGTATGGCCAATATTTTTTGTTTTAATTTATTAGATAAAGTAAATAAATAATAAACCAAAATAGTGCATTTATTGGACATAAGACATATTTAAGTGAATGAATGAATGACAATGGTATCGGAGTAAATTTAAGACATATCTGCTGAAATAAGCCAAAAATAGGCTAATAAACAGAATCAGGATTTGAACTAAATTTAGAAAAATCATGAATGAGTCACGGGATTATGCAAATTTGAATTCATCAAGTCCATTGTTAACAATTGTTTTTTTTTTTTTGTCTTTATTTGGTTTGCATTCAATAATCCCATTTATACTTATACAGTGAGGTCTCGATTAGCGGCCCTCGATTTAACGGTCTCTATTTTGAAAGTCAGATAAATTCTTTTTGATACAACAAAATTTTGGAATTGCCCTTATATTGTGTAGTGCCTATTCTTATTATTTCGATGCTCTTTTGATTTCTTGGAAAAGTTGCTTTGCTTGTTCACCAATTAGGAGTTTTTCCGTTAATCAATTTATATAAAAAATATTTAATTCACCAACACATATCTAACTTTTCGTTTTGTACAGGAAAGATTTTTGGTGGTTCCAAATAATAATAATAATAATAATAATAATAATAATAATGATGATGATGATGATGATGATGGTAACATTTTACCCAAAGATTATCAAAAATACAAAACTCAAAACAGATAAAAAATTTAATTGTTCTAATTAGTGATGATGATTTTTATGTGGGCTAAATTTAGTAAAAGGAAAATCTGTTATCATTATGTCACCACACTCAATAAAATTTCCCTTTACAAAAAACAAAAACTATATTAAAAATAAAAATATTTTATTCTAAATTCAAACAATTTTATGAAATTTCTCCTTTTTCCTACTTGTTATAATATAAATAAATATATAAATGGATCCTATTGAGGTGAAAAGTTAAAAATTACTTGAAAATATTATTTTTCAACATTTAATTAAAGTATGAATTGTTAAATAATAACAGTCTATAAGATGGTCCGTTTTGGAGAAATTCTCTAAAGTTGCGAGAATTTCACGAGAAACAGCTGGTATACGCATTTATATTTTTAGATTTTTATTTATTATTTCACATTAGAGAGAGACAGAACATATACGTTAATTAATTATTTAATTATCAAATTTTAGTACAAATCCTTGAGACTCCACTTGCACGACCAATAGTTCCATATCTCCCACCTGCTATAAATCAATTAATTCAACCAGAGTCTGAAGATAATTCCGTAAATGAATATGATGCTGGCAGAGTTTATCTTGCTAAATGGGCATTAAAAGTTGACGAAGAAGCAAGAGTAGCTGCACGTCAAGAATATTTAGCAAATCATGGTGAAGGTGAGGCATCATCAAATACTATAAGAAAAAGATGGTCAGATCCTAAATCATGGGAAGAAGAAACTGAGGTGGGCGCTTTTGAAGTTTTAAATGTACGAAAAACTTGATTTTATATGCTACGTATATATGTATATAATCTAATGTCATATTTATTATTCAAAAATGATTTTTTAATTTTTAATTTCATAATAATAATAATTTTAAAAAAAAGGTCGATTTAAATTATCCACCACTACTTTCAACACGATCTACTTCCCTTAGTCCTGAGAAATGGTTTTCATCATTGGATTCTGAGGGAAGATTAAAAGTTGAAGTTGATGAAATCCGTGAAATTATATTTCGTGGGGTAAATATTTTTACACATGTGATTTATTTAATATTAATTTATTTATCCTGCTTTTTTTATTTATTTAAAAATTTATATGGTTTAAATAATATACAGGGTATCGATGATGATATTCGTGTTGAACTTTGGAAATTTCTTTTGGGTGTGTATCCATGGGATTCAAGTCAAGCTGAACGAGAATATATAACACAAACAAAAGAGTAATAATTATTTATTATTTATTATTCATTATATTTATTAATTGGTTGATTGATGATTATTTTGTTTTTCAATTACATTTAATTAGAAAAGAATATTGGGATTTGAAAAGTAAATGGTGGGATTCAGTTGAAATACAAAATGAAGAAGATTTCAAAGAACAAAAAATTAGAATAGGTTGTTATTATTATTATTGTTGTTGTTGTTGTTATATTATTATATTATTATCATAATATAGTTCTTCAAAAATTATTATTGCTAAGAATACCAAGAAAATTTTACTTCATTTTAATAGAAAAAGATGTGATACGCACTGATCGTAGTAATTCTTTTTTTGCCGTAGAAGATATACCACATCCAGATCCATTATCTTCGGCATCATCACCATTTACAAATAAAAACCTTGAATTAATGAAAGATATTTTAATGACATATTATTATTATAATAAAGATCTTGGTTAGTTAATTTTATTTTTTATTTTTTGCTCGATAATATTAAAAAAATTTATAATAACAGTTATAATAATATTTTTTAAAGGTTATGTACAAGGAATGAGCGATTTACTTGCACCCATATTTGTCGTTATGCACGACGAAGCTCATGCATTCTGGGCATTTGTAGGATTTATGGAACGCATGGTAGATACCGCTAATTTCCTTCTTTCTTCCTTTTCAATAATTATCATTAACAATTAATTTTCTGAATATTTAACAAGATTTAATTATTATTGATTAAATAGAAATACAACTTTTATCGCGATCAATCTGGGATAAGACGTCAACTTTTAACATTAGATTATTTGATTCAATTTATGGACCCACGTCTTTATGAACATCTTCGTAAGTAATTATTAAATTAAATGATCATAAATTATAATTATCCATGTTAATTTTTATTTATCATCATTATTAGGAAAGACTGATGCATTAAATCTTTTCTTTTGTTTCCGATGGATTTTAATTTGGTTCAAAAGAGAATTTAAATGGGATGAAGTTTTACATTTATGGGAAGTTCTTTGGTCTGACCATTTATCCTCGCAGTTTCATTTATTTGTTGCTTTAGCAATTTTGGACAAACATAAAATGGCAATCGTTGAGCATTTACATCGTTTTGATGAAATATTAAAGGTATCATTCATGATTTATATTTTGCCAATATCATGAAAATTTATTAATTTAATTTAATGATATAATCATTATATATTTATATAGTATGTTAATGATCTATCAATGACAATTCCAATTGATGAAACTTTATTACGTGCCGAGACACTATTTAATAAATTTAAACGAAAAATTGAAATTCTCGATAAAAAAAATTCAACAACAAAATCATCATCAAATCAACAACAAAATGAAAATCATCATGATGGATTAAGGAAGCGTAAAGGTAAAGCAGCTGCTGAATCAAATGATAATAACAGCCAGGATGTTGGCGACGATAATAGTAATATCAATAATAATAATAATAATAATAATAATATTGGTTCATCACCGTCTTTGTTATCACCACCATCATCTTCGTCATCATCATCTTCGTCACCATCATCTTCAAGTACCACCAATAATATTAATGGTAACTCACAAATGCCAATAGTACACGATTCGTTAAGAGGACTGCTCAGCAGAGAATTGACTAAATACGAATAACAGTAATAATAATAGTAATAATTATAAGTATTGTTATTATTATTATGTAAATTTATTACATATTTATTATTGTGTCATTGATTATTTAGAATATACAAATAAAAAGATTGATATTTAAAGATATCAATATATGTAATATATATATTTAAAAAAATACATATTAATAAATAATTATTTTAAGCAGTTTATATATTAATATTAATATTAATAATCCGTTTATTCTTAAATCAATTTCCAATTTGGTTAGCGTCCCGCTTTTTATTATGGATGGGCCAAAAACCCTACTATTACATGAATTTTACAATTCACGTTAAATTCGCACCCATATTTGATTTCAAATTCACAATGTAGAATTTTCAGTCAGGCCACCAACAGAAGATTAGTTATTGCCGCTATTACTCCGGCTTTATTTTTATTTTTATTTTTATATTTCTTATTCCAAAAAGAAATGCGGCTGCGCCGCGTCTTTTTGGGATTTGAAATCTTCGTTTTAAGCAGTGTATGAAGAGGCAAACGGCTGCTAAGGCCTCAAATCTGTGCTGTGCTCTGGAACATACTGTTTAGAGTTGAGGAACTTTTAGTTATCATTCGCGCATAGACTTCAATATTTATGGTTATTTATGACTATTAGAAATACTTGCGATTATTCGAATACTTATTATTATTATTATTATTATTATTATTATTATTATTATGGCTATTCAAAAATATTTGACTTCCATTATTTACCCCTTTTGGAAATTATATATAGTATAAATATTCAAATTTGATTGAGTAATTCCCAGAATCTGCGTCATGGATGGATAGTTTAGAAGCCTTTTGTAAAGTGGAGAGTGAACGAATACCCCTCCAACTGGTGATCACTGAAACTTAAATTTCCTGCGAGTGTACTTGATTGCAGTGTTGGAAATTCGTCGATCTTATGATCTGCAAAAAAAAATTTGTGCACATATGAACACAAGAAATTTTTAT